TATTTCTTTCTTGAACTTGACTGGTTGATCACTAGTAAATTTCTTAATTTTGTTACCATAGTATACTAACACCATTACTATCATTTGCGATGAGGGATTGCGAGGCAAAAGTATAGCGCTATGCAGCCGGTAATAGAATTAATGATGTTACCATTGTATGCTACCATCTTTACTGTCATTAGTGAATAGTGGTCGTGAGCGGGAAGTGATGTGCTGCGTCGGGTAACCAGTAACGAAATTAATTACGTTGCCGCATATACCAGTAGCGATTACTAGAAGCAGTAATGGATGTGGTTGGCCGAGCGGAAGATTAGATAGTGGCACAACGGGTGGAGCATACGATTAGCGTTGGTGGTAACTGGCATCACTTCTTTTACTACATTTAGTAAAGGTTGTTACGGGTAGGTGGGAACAGAGTATCATTTTGGTTCTTTACCATATTTCCCACATATATTACGAGGAGGTGGAGGAACTAGTGGAGGCAGTCAATGCGCGCGGCCTGGCCGGAGAGTAGAATAGCTAATTCTACGCTCAGGCTTAGTTTAGCGCCACCGTATATATATATATATATATATATATATATATATATATATATAGGGGTTCTAGGTCGGTTAGGATTGGATATGGAGTAGGGTTCTCCTCCTACTCGAATACAGCGGTGGTGAATGAATCCGAAACAACCTGGGTTGGTTAACCACTTGGAGGTAAGGAGACGTCTTGACGCAGGGATAAGGAGGTTTGGCAAGGTATGGGGTGTTGGTCTTGAGTCTGAGTTGGTTTGGATCACCGTATCAAATGAAGGATGATAAATGGGCTGGATCTTGATTAGAAGATAGATCTGCAAGTCAAATATAGTCACTTCCACTTGACATGTCCTGGTGAAAAGAAAATGCAATAAAGAATTTATTTTATTCTAGGGAAAGAAATTCCTAGCTCTAGAGTTTGAAAAGTGGTATGTTACAAGCGGACTCATAGTGTGGTTTCTGTACTAGTTAACTTCAGAAATATCTGTGTATAAAATAAAGTTATGCATAATGATATAAAAATTCCAAGGAAAATGAGTCTTGGCTATTTTTGCTTGATGTGTATGTGGGTTGATGATTTTTGACCTATATATGAGTCTTGTTAAATAGGAAGCAATGTGAATTATTTGTTTGACATCATATCCTTGTATAGTTGTTATGCTTGTGACTGTATTTGTAACTTATTTATGCTATAAATACAATTGAAATATTATGAAGAATTTGAATAATTTGTTGCTAAAAATACAAAGAGCTATCTTATTCATATTATATATATGCACATGAGATGATGAGAGGTATTCTCACCACTCCTACACAAGAGATGAGTTGAACGAAATGCATTCTATTTCATCTCGCCAATGAAATACTGTAATATAACCATTCTACTCCACCGGATTGCCCCCAACCAAATATAGGAACAACCCATTCCAGTGGAATGGAACCAGGACATTCCATTCCACTTTGTTCCTGAACCAAACACGCCCTAAGGGACCACCGCCTATGTTGGGAGTCCTATTTGGTGACATTATGGAATATACCTTATAAGATGATAAACTACGCAGAACAATCTAATTCAAGCTAATTTCCAATGGAATACATGCAGGTATCTGTTGGGCGTCGACCAATCACTGGCCTGAGGCTGTGCTTGGAAGGAACAAAACAGAACCGTCTGGCTATTCATTTGCAGCACCTTGGCTCGTTACCAAAGATATTTCTACCTCACTGGGACTCGCATATCACGATCGGGCCACCAAAATGGCAAGGGCCTGAAGAGCAGGATAGCCGATGGTTCGAACCAATCAAGTGGAAGAATTTTGCTCATGTCAGCACTGCGCCCATAGAGTACACCGAAACAAATATCACGGATCTGTCTGGCGTTTATATTGTCACGGGAGCACAGTTAGGAGTGTGGGATTTTGGTGCAAAGAGCGTGCTCCACCTTAAACTTTTGTTCTCCAGAGTTCCTGGGTGCACAATCAGGAGATCAGTGTGGGACCACAGTCCAAGTTCTGCGATGCATAGAACAGATGAAGCTTCATCGTCCTCAAGCGACAATGCTAAACTTGTGAAGATTGTCGACATGACAGAGACGTTGAAGGGTCCGCAAGACGCACCTGGCCACTGGCTGGTGACAGGAGCAAAATTAGGCGTGGAGAAGGGCAGGATTATTGTGCGTGCAAAATACTCCTTATTGAACTATTGACCAAAGTGTTGAGAGCATTCATTCATTCGCTCTGCTATGGAGCACCATGTTTAAAGATAGCATTGTTCTTTTGTTCATGTATGGTACTGTATGTAACATGTCGGAATCATGCTTCTTGCGTTGATGCTATGAGCGAAGTAGCATGGACAACTTTTTTTGTCCAGTTCAAAAATATTTGATCTGGCCCTGGTCATTTCTTTCAAAGTCATCATAGCGCGCCAATGGAATTTAATGTATATTGTGAATTTTGCATCAGCGATATTGTTGCTTGCTTTGTGGTGATCTGATTTCAATGTTGTGTTTAAAAGAGTACTACCTCGGTCCTGGTTTATTGGTTTCCTTCGCATTTTATGTTAAATTTTAATCTTAGATTTAACTAACAAAATATTAATGCATGTAACCAAAAATAATATCATTGAAAACTAGGTTCAAATACGAATCTAATGATATAATTTTTGGTGACATGCATTATTATTTTTTAGTTAAATCTATGGTCAACGTTTGGCACAAAATACAAAAGAAACTAATAAATCAGGACAGAGGTACTATTTGATTGAGCACTCTGGATGGAAAGATAAGGGCATCTCCAGCGGTGACCCTCAAATTGCCCATATCCGTCTAGATAGAGCAGTTTGTATTTACTGTATCACTAAGCTCCCTGTATCACTAAGCTCCCTAGGGGTAAAAGGCCTCAATTAATTGAGGTGTCCAATTGAAATTGGGTCACCCGGTTTTGATAAGTCAACAATTTCTTAAAGCTCTCATTCAATTATTTTATATTATATACTATGCTTATTAATTTTTAAGTCCTTATAATTAATTGAGGTCTTCAGTTTAGAACCTGGTCACCTGATTTTAATCGGGTCAATAATTTTTTAAAGAGCTCCCCCATTTAATTATTTTAATTTATGGTATTTCTTAATTTTGAAGCTCTTTTATTCAATTGAGATATTCAATATTCAATTTGGTTTCCGATTTTGATCGGGCCAATTATTTTTCAAATCAATCAACACCAACCGGCTAAAGAAATATATCAACCCCGAGCATGCTCCTACCACCTAGAAAAAAGAAGCGCGACCATGTGATAATACTATAGCACCAATATAGTACATGTAGTCACAGACACAGAAATTTACCCATAAAAATATAAGTTGATTAGAGCATAACATAGAATCACACCATAAAAAACCCACCAAATAACCACATTACAAAAAAACATAAAACATAGTCCATCGTCGCCCCCATCCGCCATACTAAATATCGCATCAATTCCAAAATACAAGGGGTATTAGTTTTTTACAAGGTCAAATTTCTTTAACTCTGACCAAGTTTAGAGCCAAAAATATCGACTTCATTTTTAAAACAAAGCAACTATTTTTTAAAAAATCTTAACAACACCAACGGCGCAACAAAGCACGTCCAATCCTTCTAGTGAGAACTGATGTAACCCGCTTTCTGCGCCAGGCCTTCTGCCAGTAGATTGAGAAATTAATTGCAGACGTAATCTGGCATGTCAGCTCTTCTGGTGGACATGGTGCCATGCTTCCAAATGTAACAAAAGGAAACCTTTCATATTTGCTGCTACTTTTGCTGTCCATTTGCAAATTAACAAACATTTCTCAACAGCGACTCCATTTAGCCTGTTCAAGCCGGGGGAATTTACCGAGTCGATCTAAATTCCCGATCCCTTGTGAGTCCTGACTTGTTGTTTCCGCAGGAGGCAGGAACATTGTTGACGTCTCTGTGGGGAATGTGGAAGAATTGGGCGGTGGCGCCGGCACTTGCTGGCAGGCAACCGGGCCGCTGCATGCGAAGCTGTGAACGAGCTGTTCTTTGGTTTCATCAGCTCCTGCAGTGCTGTGCATATGGCACGCAGTGCATATGCCACACATGACGTCATTTCAACTCTCTTAGAGAATGGCAACCAATAAATTTTCTCCTGCGTCCATTCACATTCATGGACATAGGACCAGTCTGCGGACATGGATACAGGAGGATGCCATTCAATCGTAGCCGCATACATTTTAAACTTTTTTTTTAACAAACCGGATAAAATTCGTGCAAACAAGGCCGGATTTCATATAAATCAGACGCATACGGTTACATTTTGGACATATTTCAACTAAAAAGGTAAAACTATGTGCATTTATAGTCGCGCGGAGCTTCACTACCACGGCATTATACACTACACTAGTCTACGGCCGGCTGCGACTTGTTTTTCCATGTCCGGCAGCCCGCTAACCGGACAGTCAAGAGCCCCGGAGCCTATGTCCGGCTGCGCCGCTCATCAAAGCAACAAAGATGGTGCTTCAGCCGGAAGGGAAGGATACTTCTGTGGAGTTCGGGTGGGTGTCCAGGATGGTCTGAGATAAAGGAGAACCGGCCAAGTCTCCAGCGGTGGCCTTCATAAGATACAAGCGGCGGTGGCCTCCCGTGTTCTACTTCTTCTTGATGATGGCAGCAGGCACAGACGTGCGGGCCGCCACCTCGTCTACATTCGCGCAGCCGACTTCTTTCTGTGTATGCATGGTGCAACTATACGTGCGTCAACGACGGATGGCGCGGTCGCAGACACCCTAGATGCGGTGATGCCCGTGCCGCCATGCCAGCATGGAGCAACTCGCCACTCCTCCTCGAGCTGGCCTGGAGCGACGAGTTGTTGAACCACGCGCCGGCTTGGGGCCGCGACAACTGGCTCCGTCGGGCTAGGCGAGGGACGTGGAGCAGCGAGAAGCCTCACTCGTATCTGGCGGGCTCTGCAGGCCAGATCCACCCAGTCGGCTTGTATACCAGAGAACTGCTCTTCGGAAGCCATCAGAAGAGTGGAGAAAATGGTAAAGAAGGAGATGGTGGAGCGACGGAGGGGTGCGATTTTTGCCCCGCGTCTGGCCTCGTTTAAATAAAGGGCAGACCTGAGAAGCTTGGCCGGCGTTGCGTTTAATGCTGACCCGCTCATAAATGGACGTGTGGCTGAAGTAGGTTTCTCGGCTCCCACACGAATTTAATGAAGGCGTTTGAATATGGCAAGGAGATGTGTTCAGCTGAGCGTGCAGCGGGCGACGCCCTCGACCGGGGCGTCGCTTCAATGTCGGAGGTAGTGAGAGATCACGTCCGTCCTGAGCCGACTTCATTGTGGAGCGGCACGCTCTACAACGACATGAGCGCGGGCGGGTGGTGTCGGGCAGGAAGAACACGCGGGAAGGAGGAGAGGTTTTTGATGGGCCAGGAAAGTCAGAAACAGACTTGGGAGCAGTTCGGACTCCCACATACTTTTCTACATTTGTCTTCGATTGACGGGAGAAGTTATGTCCGGACCGCTTCACAAACCGATACAAAATTGTGTTAAATGATTTTCACGGTTCAAGCGGTTGTGGGAGATTTGAGGATCACGTTAGAAATGCCCTTACGCAACGCATATGCCACACATTGCGTCATTTCGACTCTATCCGCGATGCAGCGTTCATCCGGAGGTTTGACCTCTGGTGCGATCCGCAGAAGGGAACCAAAAACAAGAAGGCGGTAACAAAGTATCTTTTTTTTAGGTTCAAAACATCCTTTTCTTGAGGGACGGTAACAAAATATCCTACTCACGAAAGGCACGGCCATGGACGCTTGCCCGGAGAGCCTAGCGTGCGCGTGCATTACAAAACGACCGTAAAATTTTACAAGTTACGCAGGGGGTGAACAGAAGGAGCTGACGACTGATTCTTTTATGCGATCTTAGCTTTTGCTACGCTCCGGTCCGGTACCTGACAACTGTGGCCTGGCTGTGTCAATGAGTTACAAGATGCCCACATCTAGTGGACGTCGCCGCTGATAACGGTTGCGACAAGAAGAGACCGAATGGAATGAATGAAGAGACCATAATTTAAACAATCTTACAGTATATAGGAATGCATTGGAGACCCATTCTTCATGAGTTGAGACGCTTTATATTGCTTGGCAACTGCACCGCACCCCCTGTCTCTCGTCCACCTGAGATAGCTCGCCTCTTGGCCAAAATGGTACTGGCTCATTCTCTTGCTTGTTCCAACTTCATTTTCCGTACGTACGTGCGTGCCAACGTTCTCACTGCTGTGTGATTTCTCTTGATAGGAAAACGAGGAGATGAGCAAGGTAACCGAAGCCACCGGCAAATTACAATCCATGGTATCTCCCTTGCTTCACCCCATCTTCTCTCCTTTCCTTCATCTCTTTTATTTACTTTTGAGACGGTTCATGCTTATCATGCCATATCGTAAAAACCTGCATATAGTGACCGTTTTATTTCAACTGCAATGGGAGTTTCCTTTGATCGTCTAATATATCTTTTACAAGAAAACCAAGAATAAGGTATAAACTACCGTGTATAAATTGTAATTGTATGGGCATCAACAGATAACTGAAATTCATGTCACTTAATTTAAGTATATAATAGACACTACATGGGATTTTGAATTTTCTGGCTTAGCTACTCCTGCGTGGCCGCCTGAGCGCTGTAAACTGTCGTGACTTTGGTTTGCTCCGTTTTAATAAAAATGGGGCGGGGGGCAACCCCTTTCTTTCAAAAAAAGAAAGAAAGAAAGAATAATAGACACTAATTCATGAATAAACTCCCACTTTGTTCTGAAGTTATGTGTTTATTTCTCATATCGACGTCTCTTATTTGCTAACAAAAATTAATAGGAATACAAGGAGGACGACAAATCAGCTGAAACCAATGGCAAGGTAAAATTACATGTTGATCAAATAGCTACTACTCCGTGCCCATGGGCATGAGAAGTGACTTTGTTATTCACATAAATAATGCATAGTCGGAAACACATGAAGTCGTTGGAGGAAAACAGTACGAAGTCATTGAAGGGAAGGTTAATTGGAGGGGAAGGCCTGCCGTGCGAGGGCGCCATGGTGGTGTTGGCAATTCTTTCTTCATTCTTGGTAAATTTTTTTAATCATGATCAGTTTCCGTTGTACATAAACTAGATTCGCGTTCAGGATTTTACTATTTCGTCAACATGTTTCTGAAATTTAATTTTTTTGTGCATCTATGCTTGTTATTGTGCTATTGTTCTTAGCAACCCATACATAAGTAGGTGGTAACATGCGGTATGAAAGGTAAAATACATACAGATTTGGCTTAACCAACCGGAGAAACATTTATATTCTCGCTAGAAACGTTGCAAGGATTAGTATTTTATGACCTCATCCATACAGTTAATGGATACGTTGTACTTGACCAGCAAATTAAGAAGCAACACGGTGTTTTAATAATCTAATGAACACGGGCCGGAAATCTCTCTTCATCAGTTCGGGCTTTTGAATGAATTTGCCGGAGCATGAATTCAATGAAAATGAAGCCAACCTTGCTGATCTGGTAATATGAAGCTGTCCTGGGTTTGCTTGTTGTTGCAGTGAACTTTGGGCTGGAGAACCTGGCGTCTCTGTCTCTAGCCGTGAACCTTATCATGTACTTCATGTTGGTCATGCACATCAACCTGGCCGACGCCTCCAACCTGCTGACCGACTACATGGGCACGAGCTACATGATCGCGGTGCTCATCACCGTCTTCGCCGACACCTTTGTGGGCCGGTACCAGACCGTGATCATATCCTCCCTGGTGGAGCTCATCGTAAGAATCTTTCGTTTCTTTCACTTGGTTGCATTGCAGCTGGTCGTTGATCCTCTCCGGCCCACATGCAGGGGCTCCTGCTGATGACGCTGCAAGCTCACTCCCCGAAGCTGCTGCCGGAGGGGTGCAAATGGCCGGAGCCGACGTGCCAGAGGGTGGGCGGCCACAGCGAGACGCGGCTCTACGTCGGGCTGTACCTGGTGGCGATCGGGTCGGCGGGCATCAAGGCGGCGCTGCCGGCGCACTGCGCGGACCAGTTCGAGGCGAAGCACCCCAGGGAGCGGCGCCAGATGTCCAGCTTCTTCAACTGGCTGCTGCTCAGCTTGTGCATCGGCGGAGCCGTCAGCGTCACGGTGTTCGTGTGGATCCAGAACGTCAAGGGCTGGGACAAGGGGTTCGGCGCCGCCACCGGCGTCATGGGCCTCGCCCTCATCGCCTTCCTCGCCGGCATGCCCCGCTACCGCATCTTCACGGCGCAGGGCAGCAGCGCGCTTCTCGACATCCTCCGGGTAATCAACCTTGTCTAGCTAGCTTAGCTTCTTGACGACTATTTTCCGTGTTAATCATGCATGCATGCATACATGGACGTGGTTGGTTATTTTCCGTGCTGTTTTCAGGTGTACGTTGCTGCGATCAGGAACCGGAATCTGCAGCTCCCTGAGAACCCCGACGAGCTGTACGAGATCAGCAGAAGCAAAGCTTCTCCCGAGGAGGAGTTCGTGTCCCACAGGGACAGGCCATTCAGGTTCCTGGACAGGGCGGCCATCGTGCAGGCGCCGGCGGCGGAGGCGCCGAGCCCGTGGCGGCAGTGCCGGGTGACGCACGTGGAGCACGCCAAGACGGTGCTGGCCATGGTGCCCATCTTCTGCAGCGCCATCATCATGGGCACCTGCCTGGCCCAGTTCCAGACCTTCTCCATCCAGCAGGGCTCCACCATGAACACGTGGGTCGGGGACTTCCAGATGCAGCCGGCGACGCTGCCCATCATCCCGCTGACCATGCTCATCTTCGCCGTGCCCATCTACGAGCGCCTCTTCGTGCCCTTCGCCCGCGGCATCACGGGCCACCCCAACGGCATCCCCTACCTGCAGCGCGTCGGCGTCGGCCTCGTGCTCTCCGTCGTCTCCATGTGCATCGCCGCCGTCGTGGAGATGCACCGCAAGAAGGTGGCCGTCCGGCACGGCATGCTGGACGCGTTCCCGATGCTGCAGCCGCTGCCCATGTCCGTCTTCTGGCTGGCCCCGCAGTACGGCGTGTTCGGCATCGCCGACATGTTCACCTACATCGGCCTGCTCGAGTTCTTCTACTCGCAGGCGCCGCCCGCGCTCAAGTCCATGTCGTCGGCCTTCCTCTGGGCGTCCATGTCGCTGGGGTACTACTTCAGCACCATCATCGTCAAGGCCGTGAACGCGGCCACCAGGAAGCACACGCTGAGCGGCGGCTGGCTCAACGGCAACAACATCAACCGGAACCACCTCGACCTCTTCTTCTGGCTGCTCGCCGTGCTCAGCTTCATCAACTTCCTCAACTATCTCTACTGGGCCAGCTGGTACAAGTACGTCAAGCCCCAGGACGAGGAGGACGATGCGGTCGCACCGGTGGAGCAGCAAGTGTGACCAGTACTCGATCGTATACCACTTCTTTCTTTCAACATGCAAAGGTTGATGTGATGGTTGTGTAGGGTTTTTGGTCGTGAAGTTGTCATGCACATGCACTTCATCCCGTTCTTTCTGTTGACGAACCTCGTCATTAAGTATTGCCCAGTTCATGTTGTGTTTTCTGGCAAAGATTTTGGCGCTACAAGTCTTTCGTCATCTTGTTCTCCTATGATTTCTTTTCCTCCATCACCGGTGTAGTACTCCCTCCGGTCCTTTTTACTCTGCATATAAGGATTGTCTGAAGTCAAACTTCGTAAAATTTGACCATATTTATATGAAAAAATATTAACATCTATAATGCTAAATTTATACAATATGAAAAGTAAAGTCATGACGCATTTAATGTTGTTGATTTCACATTCTAAATGTTTGTATTTTTTTATAAATTTGATCAAAGTTTATGAGATTTGACTTCAGACAAATTTTATATGCGAAGTAAAAAAGACCGGAGGGAGTACTAGACTACTAGATTACTCCGAGCCTCGAATGCTCAGGCGCCATGCGAGCCAGTCGCAGCCGCATAGCGCATCTGCCACCTACGTTGCATGCCGTCTGCCACGTCCAGCCTCGTCACCACGTACGTGTCACCCGGCAGCCCATCCAAGTCCCAGTGCCGCCACGACTTAAAAGCCCACCCGAAGCGCACTCCTCACACAGCAGTCAGTACAGGCCAACGAGCCGACTCCCGATCCATCGATGGCGTCCAGCGACGAGAAGCCTGTTCCGACGCCGGCCTCGACGGGAGGCGACGGCGGGCCGCCGGGGAGGCCGACGACGACGTCGACGATGCTGCTGGACAAGGGCGCGGCGGCGCTGCAGTCGCTGCGCCCGGTGAAGCAGATGAAGCAGCACGTGTGCACGTTCGCCCTGTACGCGCACGACCCGCGGCGGCAGGTGGAGACCCACCACTACGTCTCCCGCCTCAACCAGGACGTCCTCCAGTGCCCCGTCTACGACTCCGACGACAAGCACGCCCGCCTCATCGGCGTGGAGTACATCGTGTCGAGGGAGATCTTCGAGTCGCTGCCGGCGGAGGAGCAGAGGCTGTGGCACTCGCACGCGCACGAGGTCAAGGCGGGGCTGTGGGCCAACCCGTGGGTGCCCAGCGTGCTGGGCAAGCCGGAGCTGGACCACATGGCCGGCACGTTCGGCAAGTTCTGGTGCACCTGGCAGGTGGACCGCGGCGACCGCCTGCCGCTCGGCGCGCCCGCGCTCATGGTGTCGCCGCAGGGGGAGCGCGACGGCGCCGTGCGCCCGGACCTGGTGCGGAGGCGCGACCAGAGGTACAGCTTCTCCACGGAGGAGCTCAGGGCCGCCAGGGCCGACGTGGAGGTGCCGGCCGAGCCGCGCCCCGGCCAGGCCGACTACTGGGTCCGCCACCACAAGGGCTTCGCCGTCGACGTCGTGCCGCACGAGATGAAGCGCCACGCGCCGTTTCCGTGAGCGAGCGACCCCGTTCCTCGGCGCGCCGGACGTACGTGTCGGCACAAGTGGGTTATTACAGCGCTTTCGTGTTGTGTGTGTGTGTGAAACTGTGCACTTTGTTTCGTAGTTGCGGTCGAGATAGCACTGTGTAATAGCTACTGGTCTGAAAATAAAAGCATGTACGTAATTCTCAGTTCTGCTGCCTGTGCTTGTGCTATATATGTCGCGCATTTGAAAAAAGACTAGAAATGCTCAATTTTTCATAGTGCAGTTTGGTCTGATACTAGTTACTCTGCAAAATTCTACTCATGAAGGATCATCTGGAAAATGCAAAGTAAATAAATCCCAGATGATCTCCCAGCTGATAAATCCTCGTCCTCAACAACTAGCCAATGAGGTGGCAGAATTTGTTTTAGTCTAAAGAAATGGCAGATTCTGCTCAAGGAGGAGCTTTTTCCAGATGATCTACCATCAAATAGATCTTTCCGGGTTGGCTTTTGCAAATCTTGAGTATTTGCCACGGTGAGATGAGGGAAAAACTTATGCTAGTTCTTTGGAGGGCTTGGCATTTGAGTTCACAACAAAGGTGAAACTACTATACGACATTTTGTGATGTTCTTGAGGAACTATTGTGAGTGTTTATCCAGCCCAAATCTGGTTGTAAACAGTGTTTAAGGGAAACAAAAGTTGCATGGAGTTAATATGCAGTCTTCTAGCATGCCTTTCCGTGTTGATGTGCTTGGCTGGACTAAGCCGCCCGCGGATCACGTAAGGCTGGTCACAATGATCACATAAGGCTGGTCACAATGTGTAAGAATATAGTCTAGTAACTTACACACTTCCTTAGACTATGTTACTACCTTCATAGTGAGTAGGAATATCTATGTAGTGTCACGCAATAATGTATTTATTAATTTATAGACTCATTGTTTTTTGGAGTGTGTGATGTTCCGGTAACTTAACTAGTTACCACAAGCACCTCTCTCTTCATTAAATATGTGACACATAAGCAAAGTTGTATTGGAGTGTGTGATGTTATTCCTAAGTTCTTCCCCATTGTGACCAGCCTAAAGATCAATGTCGATGCTTCTTTCATTGCAGGCACATGATTGGCTAGAGTAAATAGCATAAAACTACTACTCCCTTCATTTATATAGCGTCTAATGCGTTTTACAAGACCGCCTTTGACCATTGACAAGATTAATAGTATATGAGATGTATAATGTGAAAATTATATTATTGGAAGCTCCTTTCACATACGAATTTGATGATATGCTTTGTATAAGTTGCATGTCATATATTATTGCTCTAACATTTGGTCAAAGTTGACCTCAAAAAATGTATTAGGCCCTATATAGATGGAAGGAGAGAGTACTTTTGCAGGCTAGAGTTCCAAAAAAACTACCGATTTTTATTTTTTCTCAGATAACTACCGAGTGGGTGGTCGGCTGTTTCAAAAAAACCCAAAATCTTTGTTGTTACGAAATTAAACATATTTATGACAGGTCGGGCCTGCACCTAAACGATCCGTCTATTTGACCGTTTGTTTGACCGTTAACTGACATGTGGGTCCCACATGTCAGTGTCTGCAAACTTTTCAAAAATGCCATCAGGCCCCTGCAAACTTTTTAAAAACGCAATTAGGTCCTGGTAAACTTTTAAGAAAAGCAATCGGGTCCCTCCCATGGCCGTGCGCCAGCAGCCGCCGTGAGGGTCGCCGGCCAGCCGCCGTGGAGCTCCCTTCCGTCGCGGGCGGCGCGTGGTGCTCCCTTCCGTCGCGACCAGCAGCCATGGCGCCGCCGTGGAGCTTCCTTCCGCACGGGCGCGAGGGGGCAGCACCGCTCACCGGTGATGGCCGTTGCGGCTGGGCGCAGAAGGCGGGCTTGCGGGCGTGGGAAGTGCAGGACAGGAAGCTCGCAAGGCAGGAGCTCAAGCTCGAGCTTGAGCCTAGTCATGGCGGCCGGCCTCGGGAGCTCGGACCCGAGCGTTGACCACAACAACGGACGGGATTCGAACCGGGAAAGGAGGGCGCGTGGCTGGAGCGCCGGAGCAACCCCATGAGTGCGGCACCACACTCCACGGTCTCTCCCCTACCTGGCATCAGCGCCGCCACCGACGCCATGGACGCGGAGCACGGTGGCCTCGCGGGCAGCTCGTGCAGGAGCACCCCGACCTCGCTTCTGCCTCCCGCTAGCGAACGATTCCTGCCTAGCTCGCCTTCTTCCTCGGCTCCGATGGCTCGAGCGTGGCGGTTGAACGGCGGCGGCGTTCATGGCGGCTTGTTGGAAATATGCCCTAGAGGCAATAATAAATAAGTTATTATTATGTTTCCTTGTTCATGATAATCGTTTATTATCCATGCTATAATTGTATTGATAGGAAACTCAGATGCATGTGTGGATACATAGACAACACCATGTCCCTAGTAAGCCTCTAGTTGACTAGCTCGTTGATCAATAGATGATTACGGTTTCCTGACCATGGACATTAGATGTCGTTGATAACGGGATCACATCATTAGGAGAATGATGTGATGGACAAGACCCAATCCTAAGCTTAGCTCAAGGATCGTGTAGTTCGTTCGCTAAAAGCTTTTCTAATGTCAAGTATCATTTTCTTAGACCATGAGATTGTGCAACTCCCGAATACCGTAGGAGTGCTTTGGGTGTGCCAAACGTCACAACGTAACTGGGTGGCTATAAAGGTACACTACAGGTATCTCCGAAAGTGTCTGTTGGGTTGGCACGAATCGAGACTGGGATTTGTCACTCCGTGTGACGGAGAGGTATCTCTGGGCCCACTCGGTAGGACATCATCATAATGTGCACAATGTGATCAAGGAGTTGATCACGGGATGATGTGTTACGGAACGAGTAAAGAGACTTGCCGGTAACGAGATTGAACAAGGTATCGGGATACCGACGATCGAATCTCGGGCAAGTATCGTACCGCTAGACAAAGGGAATTGTATACGGGATTGATTAAGTCCTTGACATCGTGGTTCATCTGATGAGATCATCGTGGAACATGTGGGAGCCAACATGGGTATCCAGATCCCGCTGTTGGTTATTGATCGGAGAGTCATCTCGGTCATGTCTGCATGTCTCCCGAACCCGTAGGGTCTACACACTTAAGGTTCGGTGACGCTAGGGTTATAAAGATATTAGTATGCGGTAACCCAAAAGTTGTTCGGAGTCCCGGATGAGATCCTGGACGTCACGAGGAGTTCCGGAATGGTCCGGAGGTAAAGAATTATATATAGAAAGTGCTATTTCAGCCATCGAGACAAGTTTCGGGGTCACCGGTATTGTACCGGAACCACCGGAAGGGTCCCGGGGGTCCACCGGGTGGGGCCACCTGCCCCGGGGGGCCACATGGGCTGTAGGGGGTGCGCCTTGGCCTATATGGGCCAAGGGCACCAGCCCCAAGAGGCCCATGCGCCAAGAGAAGAGGAGAAAGGAAGAGTCCTAAAAGGGGAAGGCACCTCCGAGGTGCCTTGGGGAGGATGGACTCCTCCCCCCCCTTGGCCGCACCCTTCCTTGGAGGAAGGGGCAAGGCTGCGCCCTCCCCCTCTCCCTTGGCCCTATATATAGTGGGGGGAAGGGAGGGCAACCATACCTAAGCCCTGGCGCCTCCCTCTCCCTCCCATGACACATCTCCCTCCTCCCGCAGCGTTTGGCGAAGCCTTGTTGGAATCCCGCTACTTCCACCACCACGCCGTCGTGCTGCTGGATCTCCATCAACCTCTCCTTTCCCCTTGCTGGATCAAGAAGGAGGAGACGTCGCTGCTCCGTACGTGTGTTGAACGCGGAGGTGCCGTCCGTTCGGCGCTAGAATCATCGGTGATTTGGATCACGACGAGTACGACTCCATCAACCCCGTTCTCTTGAACGCTTCCGCGCGCGATCTACAAGGGTATGTAGATCCACTCCTCCCTCGTTGCTAGATGACTCCATAGATAGATCTTGGTGACACGTAGGAAAATTTTGAATTTATGCTACGTTCCCCAACAGTGGCATCATGAGCTAGGTCTATGCGTAGTTTCTATGCACGAGTAGAACACAAAGTAGTTGTGGGCGTTGATTTTGTTCAATATGCTTACCGTTACTAGTCCAATCTTGATTCGGTGGCATTGTGGGATGAAGCGGCCTGGACCGACCTTACACGTACTCTTACGTGAGACTGATTCCACCGACTGACATGCACTAGTTGCATAAGGTGGCTAGCGGGTGTCTGTCTCTCCCACTTTAGTCGGATCGGATTCGATGAAAAGGGTCCTTATGAAGGGTAAATAGCAATTGGCATATCACGTTGTGGTTTTTGCGTAGGTAAGAAACGTTCTTGCTACAAACCCACAGCAGCCACGTAAAACATGCAAACAACAATTAGATGGCGTTTAACTTGTTTTTGCAGGGTATGCTATGTGATGTGATATGGCCAAAAGGATGTGATGAATGATATATGTGATATATGAGATTGATCATGTTCTTGTAATAGGAATCACGACTTGCATGTCGATGAGTATGACAACTGGCAGGAGCCATAGGAGTTGTCTTTATTTATTTATGACCTGCGTGTCAACATAAATGTCATGTAATTACTTTACTTTATAGAAGTAATAGTTGACGAGACAACTTCATGAAGACACGATGATGGAGATCATGATGATGGAGATCATGGTGTCATGCCGGTGACGATGATGATCATGGAGCCCCGAAGATGGAGATCAAAAGGAGCAATATGATATTGGCCATATCATGTCACTATTTGATTGCATGTGATGTTTATCATGTTTATACATCTTATTTGCTTAAAACGACGGTAGTAAATAAGATGATCCCTCTTTAAAATTTCAAAAAAGTGTTCCCCCTAACTGTGCACCGTTGCGACAGTTCGTTGTTTCGAAGCATCATGTGATGATCGGGTGTTTGATTCTAACGTTCACATACAACGGGTGTAAGACAGATTTACACACGCGAAACACTTAGGTTGACTTGACGAGCCTAGCATGTGTACAG